CTTTTCCTCACCCTTCCTTTCTTTCTCTCTCTCTCTCTCTATCTCTATCTCTCCCTCCTTGATCTCTTATGTATATGGTGCTAATGAAAATAAAAAGTAAGACATTCTTGCACTAGCGGAGTCGACGGCAGGTTGTGCCAAGACAAACACATGGACGAGGTAGAAATGTGAAAAGAAGAAGAAAAGTGGGAGTGGCGAAGGGGCTGGAAGCAGAAAGGCGTGGAAGAGTAAGGATCAAGAAAGAGAGAAGAGTGTGAAATCGTTGCGGGGCAGAGGGCCTGTGGACGACTGGTGGACGAGGCGCATCGCGACGAGTCGTGTTTCCCGAGCAGGTGGGATGGTGCAGGTGTTGTGGAGGCTGGGATGTATTGAAAGGATTGGATGGGCTGGAAGGCCGACAAAGACGAGCAGACTGTGGTCGGTGTTGGTGAGTGTGAATGTCAATGCTTCGGCAAGCCGGCTTCCATGCATACTGGCGCTGTGTGTCCGAGTTGAGGTGTGGGTGGGGCAAGTGGGAGTGTGAAGGAGTGAGTGGCGCCGCGGACGGCGAAGATGGTGAAAAGCGGCGGTGCGTCAATTATTCCTTCTCGAGGCCAGTCGCATTCGAGGAGAGTGTCCCGGTGGAGAGGACTCTGAGGGGAGAGAAGACGGCGGCCGGATTCTGAGAGGAGGAGGGCGAAAGCGGCTCCTCGCCGTCCCAAGTCAACTCCGAGTCGGTCGGCGCATGAGGCGGTGAAGATGCCTCGGAGGCCTTCTGCCCGACCTGCCTGGTCCGCTTCGTCGCCGTCGCCGTCGCCGTCGTTCTCGTCCTCCTTCTCCTTCTTCTCCACATTCTCTCCGCTCTCCTCTTCGCCTCTTCACATTCGGGCCCCTCCTCCGCGTCCCTGTCGCCCGGGCTCAGAAGCCGATTGGCCGACCTGACGCGTCTGCCCATCATCCCAGAAGGCAACAAGCCGCCGGTGACCTCACCCTCGAGGTCGGTTCGCCGACGCCGTGGCCGCCAGCCATCAGCAGCAGTGGTGGCGGCAACAGCAGCAACAGACGTCCGCAGATCTTGTCCTTCTCGGGAGGCTTTGCATGCATCAAAATCGCTTCTATTTCGCCTCTCTTTAGCCTCTACCAATCCAATCTCCTCTTCCTCTTCCTCTTCTTCTTCCTCTTCTTCTTCATCTTCTTCTTCCTCTTCTTCTTCCTCTTCTTCCTCTTCTTCTTCCTCTTTCTCTTTCTCTTTCTCTTCCTTTTCTTCCTCTTCCTCTTCCTCTTCCTCTTTCTCTTCCACTTGCATTTCTACTTCCTTTTCCTCATCTTCCTCCTCCATTTTTTCCTCTTCTCCCCTTATTCCAACCTCCAACTCATAACTCTCCTCAACATTAGTATCGTCAGCATATTCGCCTCCATCAACGACACTATCAGCATCATCATCATCAAAATCATCATTGTCTTCCGTCAGATTCGCCTTGTTACCGGGGGAAATGGCTCTACTGGGTCTTCGTATCGACTCGAAGCGTCTGGTTGAGCATCGGTCCGTGTGAGCTCGAGGCTGGTCGGCGGGTCGCCGGTCGCGTGAGGATGCCGCGAGTTCTGTCGTCAAGACTGAGCCTCGTCTCCGCTTGGAGGCGCGGGCATAACCCGACAGGTCGCCTCCTCCATGCGAGTGTTCTTTCGTTGACGGTCTCCTCGAGCCGCCGGTCGTCGTCTCCCTCGCGTCAGCGCAGCCCCGGCAACCCCTCCTGCTTTCATACGGTCCGACCAGTCTCCGGCGGCCCCGTTTGTGGCCGAAGACCACCGACTTACCGACAGGTGAGACTACCCGATCGGACACATCTTCATCTCCACCTCCACCTCCACCTCCAGCTTCAGCTTCAGCTTCGGCTTCGGCTTCGGCTTCGGCTTCGGCTTCGGCTTCAACTTCGACTTTGACTTCGACTCCGGCACTGGCTCCTCGAGGGCGCCAATCCGGACGCCGTAGGAGGGGGGGCCGGTTTTGATGCCGTCCGTCGCCTGCGAAGGCTGGACGTTGAGGCGTCGCGCCAGCCTCCGGCGGGTGACAGACAGCCCAGTCGGAAGGTGTCGTCTGGGCCGCCCGTTTACAGGCCGGGCTGGGCACGCCTAGTGACGGCCGCCTCGTCTCGCCCCCCTCGAGGACGTGGCCGGCACACCGACAATCGCGCAACCTCTCAAGGCGCACTGTACCAGAATGCTGAACCTCTGGACGGTAGTCCGTCGTCTCCCGGAGACACGGTTGCTCCGGCGACAAGACACTCAGTCCGAGATCCGTCGGGTGCGTCTCAAAGGAGGGCGACGTTGTGATGGGAAAGAGGGAGGGAGGACTGTCGGGGGGCTCCGGCGAGCCAGACATGTCGACGCCAGACGCGAAATCAGGACCCGGATGAAGGGAGCACGCCGGTGGTCCCCCAGCCCCATGGCGAGCAAAAGGCTCCACAGACTGGGTCAGGCAGGCCGAGGGTTCGCAACAGTTTGACGCGGGCAACGAAGTGTCGCAAAGCGCAGTGATGGCGGTTGCCAGGGCAGCATGATCCAAGGCTTGTTCTGGGTTGACCGTCTCGAGGAGATGGTGAAGAATTTGGCCGATCGAGATGTTGCCAAGCACGCCTAGAAAAAAAATTAAAGGGAGAAAGAAAGAGAGCATTGAATCGGATCAGATCAGATCAGATCAGATTGGATCAGATTGGATCGGATCGGATCGGATGAGGGCTTATTCGATCTAGGTCTCTAAAGGTGATCTAAGCACGGATAGTTGAGTACTGCCCTGGATGAAATTATCTTTTGGAAGACGAGACCGAATACAATTAAAAAGCATCTCAACTATCAGTCCGTAAATCACCTCAAGCGAAATAAACTGACTTAGGTCTTGGAGATATTAAGACAAAGTCGGTGTGGCTCTCGGCATGGCCGCACCGCCGATTTATATAAGTGGGTTGACCTCGTTTTCGCAACTTGATCTCGTTGTCAGAGCAACTTAGTAGAACGCACCTTGCTTGAAGTTCTCGGCCGTAGAAGTTATCATAATTCCCAGCATCAGACCGTGGACTTCATACATTCTCAGACGCTTCGCCGATATCGTAGTCGACACCATCAGTGGGTGCTGCCATTCTCCACACCAAGTTACGAACTCGTCAAAGAGACAAACAAAGTCAATCCTTCGACCAACATTCTTCCAAAACGGTTACACTAAGTGCCCATGACTTGCTCATTTTGATTTTTGAGCAGATTTTCGAGACTACCAGTAAATCAGACATATTGAATGAACTAATCCTATTCCATTTAGGGGAATGATAGACATGACGCTTCCAATGAATTTCACATAGCCTTGATTCCCAATAGGTATTCCCGGTGCAGCGTATAATCTTGACACATTAACCACCACCCCACATTATCACGAGTGTCAAGGAGCATATGTGAATTTCGAGCAAAGCGTGACATTTTGGCATATTACATTCTTTGGTGGGAGTGTTAATCAAGCAAACTCAAATTTTGCTATAGCAATCGACGACATTAGTTCTATTTCGTTTTTTTATTCTCTGCACTTTCATGGTTCGAGTCCCGCTGAGGGTGTGGATAAGACGTAGGCGGGGTCGAAACTGCAGTCAACCTTGGATGAGAACAAATTTTGGGAAGGCAAGGCAATGTGAAATTCAGTGGACGCGTCAGCTCTACTCATATCATTGTGGGAAAATTCTTCTTCTCTCAGTCCTTTATCACCTTAAACGAAATAGAGTGAATACCTCTCATGTATGAAATCCAATGGAAACGTTAGCTCTGCTTATATCATTGTGTGAAAATTCAACTACCACTCAACTTTCATCACCTTAAATGAAATATAGTGAACACATTTCATTTTCTCTTCTTGTCTTGGTTCTAATCAAGGTCACATTTCCGTACTTTTTAGTATACATCTTCTCTCTTACATGAAGACAGAAAGAGCTTAAATATAGAGTATGTATACAGCATTTAAGGATGAGCCGGAGATACTGGCATGCCTTGCATTTCGTTTGAGGAGGAAAGCTCAGCACGGAATCATCGGGATCGTAGGACGGTCACCCAGCAGTTGCAGCTCCTTCGGTATCCAGTGAGGCCAATTTACGAATATCTTCAACCCGCCTTTTCAAACCAGCAGCATCAGTCCACCCTGCATTTTGTTTGAAAAGACATCATCGCAAATCGAAAGAGAGAAAGTATAACAGCCGGATTGTGCAAAAATGGCCTCGGCTCATTGATGAATCCATGCAGAACTTCTGTTTGCCTCGATGTGGTCGGTAGCGTCAGAGTCAGAGAGCCTCAAAACCAAACCAAAATGTGGCCGGATCAAATGCTACTTGCTTCTTATAACTCATTTCAATATCATAATCAGACATGCCAATAGTCAGTTGGCCACTTTATGAATTCTGTTTCTTCGTCTTCTGGTGAAACCGAACTTCGAATCTCTTCACCCAACACTTTCACTCGAAATGGAAGTAAGCTCAACAATTATGAAACAAGAGATTTTTCGAAACCCAACTTTTCTTCATTAATGCTATAACAGAGAACGCAGACCAAGCTGGGAAAACGAGATAAAAGCAACATTACAACTTTTCTTCATATTTATTTGCACAGCTCACCATTACAGGTAAAATGTATACACTACATTACCAGATTTATCAATATCATCATTGACTCTATACTTAAGTTGATATATATATATGTATACATATATAAAGGTGACCTTTTTGAACTCAAACCCCTATTCTGACTATACGCTAGGTTCCTGTAAAGCCTGCCAATAGCTGATCAAGAGGAATCCGCCATCGCCTTCTGGTAGGATCGACCATCGACGATCTTCGCCAAGCTCGAAAATATATGGACCAAGAGCTTCCTCGGAAGACAACTTTTCTTAGCATAGACTGTAAGTTGGACCTCGCCCGGATCTCATCGGCACACCAACTGGATTCGAACTGGCAGCAACAAGTGACAACTCCACGACACAGCCACGAGTGCCATTGGATCGTAGGGCAGATACGACTTTCGAGGCTGTGGCGGAATGTTAATGTGTCGCCAGACAATGTGCATGATCCGAGTTCGAACACCGCTGCTGACGATGCTGATGAAACGATGCGGCAAGGTTAACACGTCAGTTTAGGCTAAACGATAAAACCTGTTGCGGAGCAGAGTTGAGGAAAATTTACCGGAATTGTGAAGCAATGACATTATTTTTATCGTGGGCGTCTCAACCGTCTACCCTTGCATAACTATGACTGATCTAAGCTGACTTGGGTTCTGATCGAATAGTGGAGCAAATCAAGCAATCGGAAGAGATGACGAGACGTCAGTTTTAAAGTGAACCCCTATTCCCAAATGTGAAAGAGCTGTACTTCAGTTCAGCTTAAATAAGAATACCTTCTGGAAAGCAATACTATGTGGAATTTCATAGAAAGGTGAGACCTAAACACATGGTTGTAGAAATAGAGTAGGGTTTCGAGACTACCAGTAAATCAGTGTAATGAGATGTA